ATTAAAGTTATCTACTATACTCGTTTTTTTTTTATCTTTCCATTTTTTTTTTAACAACCCTTAAAAATCTTAGTCAAAATGCTACAAACAGATAATAGATTTCAATTAACCTCTTTTTTCAAGTTTTACTAAGGTTGGGTTTGGTATATTTTTTTAATTTAAACACTTTTTTTTAATATTTTATAAATAATCATCGATCAAGTGTTTATATAATTATTAGGGTGTCAATCACTTGATCAAATTAACTTTTTGGATAATCCTCCTTCAAGTATTTTTAATAAAAAGAGTTCGATTTGATTTTGTTTAAATATCTTTTACCTATTGCCAAACACGTACTTTATAGATTTTTTTAAAAAGAATTTTAGTTTAGTTATCTAAAATCATTTAGGAAACTACATTCTAAATTAATAATTCTTAGTTTTATTTTTTAAAAAAAAATTCAAAAATCAACACATTATAAGAGTTTATAACATAATTTAAAAGAGAAAAAATTATTAGTAAAAATCATTTTTTAGTATCACAAATGTGAGAATGGAGAATTGAACTTCAACTCTAAGAAATGAGTAACATGTCTTAGACAAAAAAAAATTAAAAATTCCTTATTTTTGTAAAAAGTAATGTTAAAAATAAAATATATCTTTTCCATCTTGCCTTATTAAACTTAATTTACTTTCGATCTATATTATTTTTATATATTTATGGTTTAGTCTTTTTTTTTTTCCTTTCCTTTTCCTAAGGTTACATATTTAAATCTACACTTTGATATCTGATATTTAATACTTAAAACATATCGATGAATCAAATTCTAATTGTATTTAAATCACTAATTGATATGTATGTGTTCAATAGTATCAACCCTACTTCAATTAAGTTTTCTTAGTATAACAAATGTGGAGGTGAGAGTTTAAAAACCTTGCAAACCTCAATAGGAGGAGCAAGATTCTTTACTCTCGCTGATCAGCTATGCTCATGTTAGCAATCATACTTCAATCAGGTTATTTTTTAAATTTATAGTTAAATCCAATTTTTTTAATTATATATTGATAAAATGTTAATTATATATTTTTAAAAATAAATAGTCTTATTTAACCATATATATTTAACGTAATTTCAAGTAATCAGGTGTAAATCTTTATGTTCAAATCTCCTCCCCAATTATAACATTATACGAGTAGTAAACAAAAATATATATTTTTTTAGAATATTATATATATATATAAAAGTAAAAGTTTGAACCTACGACTTCAAAGAAAGAAACCTTGAACTAACATGAACGTAGCTCTGCAATTAAGACATACATCTTAATTACTCCTTTTCTAGAGGTAAGAAGTTCAAATTCATATATATATATATATGTGTGTGTGTGTGTGTGTGTGTGTATATAAAAAAACAAGAATTTTGAACCTATGTTTCAAAAAGAGAAACCTCGAGCAAGCATGAACATAACTCAGTAATTAAGACGTACATCTTACTCTTTTCCTAGAGATCAGAAGTTCAAATCCAGTACATCCCACATTTATTATATTAAAAAAACTCGATACCTAATTACTTAAATATATTATACTCAACTCGACTATGACAATACATATCAATTTTATGAACATGGCAAGAGAGCATTTAAAGATGGATGAATTTCCAATGAGAAACTTTGGAGAGAGAGAGAGTCAATTTATATAAAATAAGGTTTGCTAAAACTGAAAGATTAGAGAAGGAATATCTAGGAGAATGTAATGGAAAGAATTTTTAAAAAAACATAAAACAAATAAATAAAAAGGAAACTTAAGATTTAGAAGCTTGGTAAACGACATGTCGAATTAATTAAGGGAAGCAAACAAAATTGCCTTTGTGGTCTGTAATCTCTTTTTCTTGTGTTGGGGCCAACCCCATTTTCTTCTGAATAATAAATTCTGCATTATTATTATTATAACTGTTTCTTCCTTAATTAATATTTCTTCTTTTTTTCTTCTTCTTCCTTATTAATAATTGTTACTTCTTCTTTTAGTTCTCAATAATATCAAAATCATTACACAAAGAATTAATCAAACATTCATCACCTGATGATGTTCCCACAGCCCCTAGCTTTAAAGCCCTCTCTCTTCTTTCTACAGTAATATTTAGTTGCCTCTCTTGCATGCTCATTATGGATCTACATAACTTTTACCTCTCTTGTACTTCCCATCATTTTTATTTATGGCATCGACTTCTTCATCCGAATTATTGGACCATGTTGAATGCTCGTGGCGTGGCGTGGCGTAGCTTTTCTTTTCTCTTCTTTCTTTATTTTGAGGAGTTCATCAATTGCTCGGTATGGAATTGAGCAATCAATCTAGGATGGTAATTAAGTACTGCCTAATTATCTAGAGCTATGCTCGGATAATGGATTATATTAGCCCATAAAGGCATAGCTTTTGGAGTGACCGAGGTGCGCAGGTACTTGTTTTATGGTTTCAGGGTTTCATTTTGAGACAATTAGCCATCCCTATCAAAATAGCTTTGCACTACTTTTAATTTTATCACAAATAATCCATCTCCTTTACTTGGGTTTTTTTTTTCTTTTTTAGAACTTATGTCTTTTTCAATATTTCATACTTGTTCATGGTTGATTAATTTTCATTAATATATATTAGCTACAGATTCATTTTAAAAAACTCGATAATCAATAGATAGGTAATATAGAAGTAATTAAGAAAAATAAGGAAAATGTGAAAATTTGAGGTCAAAAAAATCATAGGCAAAGAAGAACATGCGACTAAATCATATACCTTCCAATGAAGTAAATATTGGGTTTCGATATCAATACTATTGGTGGCAATTTAAATATATTTCAGTTGATTAAAGCATATATTTTCGATTAAAAATATCAATGTTAGTCGAGTACTATAATATATTTTAAAAATATAATTGTTTTATAATGTAGTGGTTGATCAACTAATCAAGTTTGACCTGATCTTTTTAATAAAAATTATGAGTGGAACTATAATGTTACTAACATAGTCATTAATTTTAAACATAACTGTATGATTTTATTTTACATTCATTAATCGATAATGGTTTGCATAGATTTATATTATTTGAATATTTTACTAAAAGAATACAATATCAATTTATTTATATATTTAAATGAAAATTTAAATTTTCATTATCACTTTTACATAAAATTTGATATGCTATTTAATGTTTTTGAATTATTTGTTTTGTCTTGGTTTTTATTACTATGAATAGGAAAAATGGTGGAAAACAACTGAAAGCCTTAGAAAGTTTTCATTAAATTTTTCATTTATTTAATCAAGTAGAAATAGTATTTTTGGAACATTATTGTCTTGTTGGTGATATTTCTTTTAATATTACATCTGTTTCTATGTTATTATATTTTGACTACTACAAAATACAAAGTATATAATTTTCTATTTCGTTTCTTTTTTAATGTAACTTCATTTTTTATTTTATAAAAAAACTCAACAGTATACACTTTTGGGAAACAAATCATAAAATTCTACCTTAAAAAACATTTTATATATGTTTTCGAAAAAGTCTAGATTGCTTGGACTCCAACAAGTAATTATTAATATCTAAAAATTAAAAAATCAAAATTTCTCTATAAATTTGTATCAAATCTCCAATTTCATCCTTAATAACTCATAAATTTTTTTTACCTTTATGTACACACAAGAAATAATCACATTCCCCCAATTTAAATTTAAAAAAATACTTAACCTCGCACAAACAAATCATTAAATTTTTTACTACCGCACCAAAACAGTATTATTATTATTTTTTCCCTTGTAGTATTTTATCTCAGAGGACAGATTCGAACCTACAACTCATAATAAGTGATATTACCTAACCACTCGGGTGGGCAATGACTTAAAAAATAACATTAACCCATTTGATGAAACTTTAAAAAATATTATTAGAGACACAAAATGATAAAATTTGGATATTTTTTATTGTAAAAATCCATCAAATGGATGTGAAATAAATTTTAAGAATAATTGTGGTTCATTTATTCATATAGGACTGAATAATTTTTTGTTCACTTCATATAGTAGAAAATAAACAAAGAGTATTTATTTATAATTTTGAATATATCTTTCGTCCTTTATAGGAAATGGACATAACAAATTTACTTGAAAAATAAAATAATAATAATAATAATAAATAATAATGTTAGAGGGAGAAGATGCGAGGAGGGTGGGGGAAAAGTAATCACACGTGAACGTGTCTTTCTCTCTCTAAAATTTTTTATCCCGTCCTCTCCGGGCTTGTGAAAAAAATAATATCCAAAACCAAATTTTCCCTATTTTCTTTTTAGGTCAAAATTTAATTTCTCTGTGTATTTTTAACTTTTTTCATTTAAGTTTATGTGATTTCAAAACGTCATTTTATTTTTTGTCTATTTACTTTTTAAATAGACCAATTTAATTGTATGGTAACTATATTTGAAAAAATTTAAATCAAATAATAAAGTTGGTTTGTTAACATTTCTGGTTGGTTGTTTTTGTTTCCTATTTTTAATAAAGAAAAATATAATTATATGACACCTAATCCAGGTGAAAAATGATAAAACAAGATTTTTATTTATAAACAAATTGAAAATGGAAAACAAGTAATGAGAAATTTGTTTTGATTGTTTCTAAAATTTTTATACAATTTTGAGGATGTTTTTAAAAGAAACGTAAATAGTTGTCAAATGCTTATATTTCTTAATAAAAATGAAAACCAAAAACAAGAAAAACGAGAACTATCAAATGGGTCTTGAGTGAGTGAGTGAAGTACCTTGTTAAAATTATAATCAAAATTTGAGGAAAAAATAAGAAAAAATGAAAATGAAAGAATAAAAATTATTACTATTTAAAAATACAGAGATCATAATAGACATTTTGAGGATAAGACTGAAAAAACATGTTTCTCAAATTTTTTTACAAGAGAAAAAAATAGAAGAGAGAGAAACTTTTTGCTCATCTTCTTTCTTCCTTCTTCCCTTCTTCTTCAGTGTCATTTTCTGAGATATGCTCTCGAGACAAACACCAAATACTCAAACCCCAAATCCAAATCCGACTCCAAATCCTCTCTCTCTCTACAATCTCTCTCTAAATTTCTCTCTCTCTCTCTACAATCTCTCTCTTCATTTTGGCTTTCTGGGCAGGATTTTTTCCAAGTTTTTTCTGAGTTTTCCATCTGAGTTTTATCGGATTACAACAAAAAACCTCCTCTTTCCTTCCCCCATGGAAGCTTTCTCAATAAAAATCAAATCTTGAACCTCCCCCATTAGAGATCCAAAACACCCACCTTTTTTTTTTGGCTTCTCCAATTCAATATCCAACTTTTTTTCTCTCTTTCTTTCTTTAATTTTCTTTTCACTTTCTTCATCATCAAGCTGCAAGAATTAAGCAGAAGGAAAAAAAAAAAAAGCTGCTATAAGTTTTGCTAAAGTAATAACAACAACAACAAGAAGAAGAAAAAAAAGATGCCCTTAGAAGGGATTTTTATTGAACCCTCTTCAACCCCACTTCCTGATCTCTCTCTTCAAATCAGCCCTCCAAATGCTTCTTCTTCTTCTTCAAATTCTTCAAATTCCAATTCCTCTTCTTCAATTCGTAATTTCGATTTTTTTATCCAAAAAAATTCCCAAATTTTTAATTCTTCCTCCGCCCCTCAGCCAGCCCACACTGAGCTCTCCCTCGGCCGGAATAATCTCCTCGCCGCTGCAGCTCCGCCCCCGAATCTTCGCGGGGTTTCGGCCTTTGATGCAGCATCCGACGGCTTGCGGCCCATCAAAGGGATTCCGGTGTATCACAACCGTCCATTTCCATTTTTGGCCTTGGATCATCACCAGAAGATTTTAGATCACCACCACCACCATCATCACCATCATTCGTCTCCATGCTTCTATCCAATGGCGGCTGCAAGTAATTCTTACCATCCCAATTTGGAAGCCATGGCAGTGCTGAACTCGAGCTCTAACAATGGGAGCCTTCCTAATTTGTATAGATCAGCCCCCTCCACAAGGTTCAACAATGGCGTTGGAGGAGCTAATTCTGATGGGATGATGATGAGATCCAGATTCCTGCAGAAGATTCCAGCGAAGCGGAGCATGAGGGCGCCAAGAATGCGGTGGACGAGCTCGCTGCACGCCCGGTTTGTGCACGCCGTCGAACACCTCGGCGGCCATGAAAGTAATCAAAAACACACATACACCTTTTCTTTCTCTTCGGTTTTTAGACTCTAACGTTTGGGTGTTTTTTTTCCTCTTTTCAATTTAGTCTGATTATGATCTAAAAGGAAATTTTCAATTATACCCTTTTTTCCGTAAGCTTACGCATGATACTTAGCGAGTCAATAGAAACAGAGAGGAAGAAAAGTCGAAATTTCTACCAATTTGGAGCAGGCATTAGAAATTTTACTCATTTCTCGCTTTCTCACTAAGTATCATGAAATGTAAGTTCGAAAATGGTATAATTGAAAAACACGACTAAATTGAAACGATAATAAAGACTAAAGTGAAGGAAAAAAAACACCTAACCCAACAAACATTAGAGACTAAAACATATATTTTAGTGATCGATTTCGAGAAAAACAAAAACAAAAATCTGGATTTTATTTGCAGGAGCAACACCAAAGTCAGTTCTTGAGCTGATGGATGTTAAGGATCTAACACTGGCTCATGTCAAGAGCCATTTACAGGTACATATCATAATTATCTCCAAATCAAACCCTTTATATATATTAATCAAAATCTCTCCTTTCTTTTTTTTTTCTCTCTCTAGGTTTTTGTTTTCTCTCTCATATAGTGAATGAAAGAGCAGTGAGTGAGTGAGTGAATGTAGCCTCTTAATGAATGGGTTATCAATCAGTCTGTAGTTTTTCTCAGAACCTCAAATTCATTTTCTCTCTCTTCTGCTTCGAAAATAGAGCAAGAGAGAGAAACTGAAAAAGAAAAATATATTAAAAAATAAAAAGAAAAAAGTTGTCATCATTACAAAATAATATAAACTTTGCTTTCAAAAAAATATATATTATAAACCCCTCGTGACTAATGAAGAAACATAGTCAGTCCCAGAGAGCCCACAACTCACAGAAGAAAGAGAAACAAGAGAGAGAGAGATGTCAAAACTTTATATTATATTATATTGTATGACATTATTTTATATTATATGGTTTGTTTGGTGTAAATTTGAAATTTTTTAGATGATATGATTTAAATGAGATGGGTTTTCCCGATGACTTTTTTTTTTTTAAATTTTTTTTTAGATGTATCGGACTGTTAAGACCACTGACAAGCCTGCAGCTTCCTCAGGTAATTCGTATTGCTTGGCTTGGCCCTCCCTTATTCATCTTCTTTCTTTTCAAACAAAAATAAAAAAATTTAATTAAAATGATCCACTCCAACCTAACGTGATTGGTTAAAAATTAATGATCTCTTTTATAGGTTATAGGTTTGACTAATCGTTGGATTAGGATTGTAACGTTGAAACTATATTTTTTCTAGATTTTAAAATTTCGCTTAGATTTTGAGAAGAAATAGATGGAAGTATAATCTTGGATTGTTAAAAGTTGAAAATCGGGAAACAAAATGGTTGTCAAACAGGGTCTAAGTCGTTTGATTGTTTGAGTTGATTCAGGTCAATCGGATGGTTCGGGAGAGGACGATGTATCTCCTACGATGGGGGCGGGCGGAGGAGAGCATGGCGCTAGGCAGTTTTCCGATCAAAGAGCTCCGGCGGATCCGGGCGGCCAGGCGTCCCCGGATTTGGAATTTGGTTCCTCCACTCTTTGGTCTAATTCTTCAAGGTCAATTTCATCTTCAAATCTCTCTATGTAATTAAAAGTTGGTAGTTTGTTTTTGGTTTTGAGAAAATATGGCAAATAAAATTTTCAGGGTTTTTTTTTATCTCCCTAATAAAAAAAATAAGTGTCTTAATTAGTTGAGCTATAATATATGTATGGTGTGTTTTTCTCTTATTTGCACTAGAGGTTGGTTTTTCTCTGATTTGCTTTGGATGTGGGCTTTACTTCCAAAAATATTCACACATAATTATATAAATTGTTAATTAATCTCACAGCTTTAAATATGTGTTTTAGTTTTTAATGTTGGGGTGTAATCTTTATTGTTTAAAAGGCTCTAATTTGGTCCCTTTGTGTTTTAAAATTTTTAAATTATATAATTTTCATCCGTGAATTTATCAACTTCTTAGAAATTCCGAGAAAATTGAAATTTTTTTCTTTCTTAAATGATTTAACTCTTTTTTTTTCTAAGTTCATTAACATGAGGTGAGGATTCAAATTTCTAACCTTTGATTGATGGTATATATGTTTTAAACCAATTGAGCTATATTTGGAGGTTGACCATTAATTCTTCTTTTAAAATTTTACTAATTATCATCAACTATAATGTCACGTAAGCTTATCATCATCAAATTTTAACATGTACCAATAAAATGGGTACAATTGAAAAGTTTTAAAAATATAAGAGTCAAATTGAAACCTTTTAAACAACGGATACATGAAATTGAAAAGAAACATTAGAAACAAAGGTTAATTACTTTGGATATAATTTAATTTAGGGTAACTTAGTTCTGTCTAATTAGGGTTTTTTTATTTGATATTTGGTTTAGTATTATATTTTGCCTGGGAAATTCTAAATGGTTAGCAATTTTGGATAAAATTGAGCCTTATAATGGGATTGTGGAAGGTGTCGTTTGGTAACGTTTTTGTTTTGTATATTTTGAAAATTAAGATTGCTTGCTTAAAAAAAAATTTCTTTCTCGTAGATAATTTTGAAAATGTTGACTGAATTAAAAAAAAAAAAAGTAGTACTTTGTTATTATTCTTTTAACCATTTGAGTTATCATAATTAGTTTGAGGGTATTTTGTTGTTTTGAAATGTGTTCTTCTTGTTAAATATATTGTTTTATTTATATATATTAATTAATTTTTTAAAATGTAACTTAATTGAAATGTGTGATATTTTTGAGTTATTGAGAGAAGAAATAAATGGAAGCAAATAATAAAAGATATCTTTCCAAATGGTTTTTAAAATTTAGAAAACAATAGAAAATCAAGTTAATTAAAAGCTTAATCTATATAGAACATTAAAAAAAAATACACCAAAACAACCTCTAACCTTGAAAAAAAAAATGAATCTAGCTAAAATTTTACAAACCTCTTTAAAAGTAGATAATAAAAAACAAATTAATTTGGACAAGTAGATCATAGAAAGTCAGAAAATGAAATCCTGATTGAATGATTTATTAGGTTCTCAAAAACTTGTTTTTATTTAAGGATTTAGATTAAAATTTCAAAAGAGTTTTTCTTTTTTTAATAAAAATTTTGGACAAATAAATCAACAAGCTTATTTCTAAAAACAGAAAATTAAAAAAAAAATCATTATCAAGATTATTTAATATATAAGTAGATTAATATTTTGTTATATCATAAAGCCAAACTCATATTATAATAAAGTTTGGTGTTGCATCTTTTAAATTTCTAAACAAATGTGAAATTTTAATAAAATAAAATAAAAAGTTATAACAGATATAAATAATCAACTAGGTAATCTGAACATAGCTCAATTGGTCTAAAATTTTAATTTTTCTATTTTTGCAGAGATGTGTGGCCACAAACAAACTCCAATGAAATGGATGTCATTAGACCAACTTCTTCAACCCAAATGCAGCAAAAATCCATGCACCAAATTGAGGTACCATATACAATATTTGTGTTGTTTTAGATTGAATGGTATTTAGTATTAAGAATATAGTATAAATATTAAATACACCATAAGAGATTTAATTTAATATGTTCCAACGTTCAAACTCTTTCCAATTGATATTGATAGTTCTTTCAGTTGAATTTCATGCAGATTTTCGTACCCAAAGCATTAATTAAAGACGTATATGAAAAAGATTAAATATATCATAACCTATCGGTTTATGAATTATGAATTTAGTGGTTAGTTAATATGATGTTAGAACAAAAGATCTTGTGTTTAAAATTTTTGTAGCGTTGTCTCGTCTTTAATTGATAGTGTGGTATAGTCCACTTTTCTAAGTCTCATGAAAATTTTTTAATCTAGAAGGGAAGATATCTTGTATTCAAACTGATCCTCTAGTGGGCGTCCTACAAATTTTCAAGCCTATGTTTTCTTTCTTTCTTTCCCTGATTCATATTGATAGGTACAAATTTTCAAGTCCACGATGAAAGAAAGCATGTATTGAAAATATACTTTTTGCTCGTAATTTAAGTAGAGAGTAATCAAAACATAATCAAAGATCATATGTTCAAATCTTACAAACTGTCATTAATTTTCTTTCCAAATTGAATATTATGATAGTCCACGAATGAAGGGAGATGTTATAGTCAAACTCTGTAGTGTCGTTTAAGTGTACAAATACCAGAAGAAAGTATCGAGAATATATTTTAACTTTCAACTTAAGCTTCTTTTGTGTCTGACTGTGACTTAGTACGGTAATCAAAACAAGAGATCCTTCTCTAACTTAGAATTGTGACAGTCCGCTTGTTGAGTCTCGTGCAAATGCTGATGTGGAGTATAAACGATAGTTGCTGTGTCGTGTTTTTATGTGAAGTTTAGAAGAAGTAAGAGGAATTTGAACACACAGTACTGACCACTGGTATGGCAGGAATGTGATTCAGGTGCAATGAAGAGATACAGTTCAGAATGCAAAAAACCAAGCTTGGAATTGGAGTTCAGGTTAGGCAGAGCAGAGTGGGATGTCAAAGAACGCCATTGATATTTAAATTTGGTCCCTCTCCTATCAAAGCTCTTTTTTTTTCCTTCTTTTTTTCTTTTTTTCTTTATCTTTTGCATTTGTAGACTGAGTTATTGCTAATCTTGGCAAGTGGATTATAGAGAGATAAAATGAAGAGGTTTTTTGTGTGGGGAAGAAGAAGAAAGAAGAAAATATATAGTCATTAGTTTAATCTCTCTCTCTCTCTCTCTCTCTCTCTCTCTCTCTCTCTCTCTCTCTCCTGTGTGTGTGGGATTTTTGTGGAAGAATTGGGTTAGAGGAGAATAAGAAGAAGAAAAAAGTGTGTTATAGTGATGAGTGAGATTTTTTGTAATAGTTGTAAGAGATGGGGAGAGAGAGAAAGAGAGAGAAAGAGAGAGAGATGTAGGTGCAAGTGTAAGTGTAGCCTTCCAATATTGATCATAAACCATTATATGTGGCTGTGTGGGAGAATTTTTCCCAACATAAAAATCTGGTTGGAAACATATACTTTTAGATTCTATTGTTATAGTTCGGTTGTTTATAACTACATTTTGGTCTTGTAATGAAGTTACTTTCATAAATGTAGTAATAATTTTTTTTTATTTTATTTTTTGGTGAGAGTTTAAAATACGACGTTTAGGTAAAATATTTATCACAAACAGTCATCATAAGAAATAGAGAAGATGTATCTACTGTTGAATTATACTTATGCAGGCAATCATCGTGAAAGGCTTTGATTGAACCAAGTTTCACTTACTTCATCTAAGTAGTCCTGCAAATATATATATATATATATATATACTTACTTAACTTTAACAACTAATTATTAAAAAATATATATACTTTTACATTTACCTTTGACTTTAATAACTAATTATTAAAAATATATATATACTTTTACATTTATCATTGGGTTGTCTGAGTATTTAATAGTGTCAAGACAACATTGCTCTCCAAGAGAGTATTTTTCAAAAGCCAAAAAAAATGGATCCTTTTAAAAATTTTCTCCCAACTATTAATTATTACCATCTATAAAATATGATAGAAGAATTTAAACTTATAGAAGAGATATTTCCACGAATCCGAACATGACTTTAAGTGGATAAGGCACATTGATACAATCTCAAAAGCAAAAGTCGATGGTTGGATGGGGCAATTGTTACTTCCTGGACACCGGCACCTTTATCAATTGGGCACAAGTGTTTCCTCCGAAGAATGATGATAAGAAAAAGTGCATTCTTGAATTTCAACCATATAAAAATCAGATTTTTGCTATCAGCTCTATCTTTTCACTTTCACCAATCACAAGCAGCCAGCATGACCATCGCCATCCACAAAATTGATGGCCCAAAATCTCATCTTCTTTCCTTCCACAGTGAACACTGTAATCTCCTCCATTTCTTCACACCTTCGCCATCTCTTCTGTCGCCGGCGGCAACCCCCAGATGGGCGAGGCCCCGATACGTTTCGGCATCCTCGGCTGCGCCGAGATAGCCAGAAAAGTGGCCAGAGCGATAAACTCAGCACCCAACTCCGCCGTCTCCGCCGTCGCCAGCCGCTCGCTCGACAAGGCCTTGAACTTCGCCGCCGTCAACGGTTTGCCGGACTCTGTCAAGGTGTACGGCAGCTACGACCAGATTCTCGACGACCCGTGTGTGGACGCCGTCTACTTGCCTTTGCCGACCAGCCTTCACCGGCGGTGGGCGATCTTGGCGGCTCAGAAGAAGAAGCACATTCTCTTGGAGAAACCCACGGCGCTGAACGTTGGAGAGCTTGATCAGATTCTTGATGCGTGTGAATCGAACGGCGTGCAGTTCATGGATGGATCAATGTGGCTGCATCACCCTAGAACTGCCAAAATGAAAGAGATTATCTCTGATTCAAACCTTTTTGGCAATGTTAACTATGTAAGAGCTTTTCCCAACTTATAAAATATCAGCTTTTTTTCTAATAAGTACTTGTCATTAGAAGTTAGAAGTAGAACAATGAGTGATGATTTGGCACGACGGAGTAGACATAGATAAACTAAAAGCAAGTGAGCCAAAAAATTCAAATTAAATGTAGTTCACCTGCGCACTTGTCTGAATCTTTTGACCCATCTGCAGTTTTTACCCTGAATACATTCTTTGATTCTACTAGTTGTCGAGTCATGTCATATTAATATTTAAATAACGATATTATTAACGGTAGGAACTTATTAGAAACATAAAATGAAATACTAACCACTAAGTTATAAGTGATAAGTATGATTTCTCTGTGCAATTTCAAGATTCACAGCACATCAACAACATCAGGAACTAGAGAGTTTCTTGAGGAAAACATAAGAGTAAAGCCAGACCTGGATGCTTTGGGTGCACTGGGAGACTTGGCATGGTACTGCATTGGAGCCATCTTGTGGGCAAAAGACTATGAATTACCAACACATGTCTGTGCACTACCAGATGTTACAAAGAACTCGGCAGGCGTTATCTTGTCATGCAGTGCCTCCATTCATTGGGGCAGAACATCTGCAACAGTTCACTGCTCTTTCCTATCTCATACCTCCATGGACATAGCCATATCTGGTTCCCGTGGATCACTAAGTGTTTATGACTTCATCATCCCTTACCAAGAGACTTCAGCATTGTTTGATTTCATCTCGGGAGCGGCGTTTGCAGAACTCCATATTGGATGGAACAAACGACCAGAGGAAGTTGAGGTAGGTACTGAGCTACCACAAGAGGCTCTGATGGTGGCAGAGTTCGCCAGGCTTGTAGGGGCCATAAGAGCAACTGGGTCTCGTCCTGATAGCAAGTGGCCACAGATAAGTAGAAAGACACAGCTAGTGATGGATGCTGTAAAAAAATCCATTGATGGTGGTTGTAAAACAGTGTATTTGTAGTCTCTTTATGACAGGCAACAAGGTTATTGTATAAACATTTTCATAAGCTAAGCTAATGCTATCAAAGAAGGTTTTTCTGGGTGGAATGAATATATCTAC